ACGGTTTCACATTGAAAGGAGCTGCTCGAGAGAGAGCAAACTCCATCACCCTTATTCTCCAACACGGTCTCGATGTTTTAAAATTTCATCTCATAGTGGCATACATAGATCTCTTGGATCTTTAGGAAGGTGCAGATGATGGCGACCCCATCAAAATCATACTATTGCCTTTACCTAAATTCTTGCACACACTCTTAGATGCCTGTGATTAGGACACCTTGATGTATATGCTCGTTAGACAAGGGATAAGGTGCAGTTAGGTTTTTCATATGCTCCAACTATTGTTGATGTTTTGTGCATAGTCAAGCATTTTTGTGATGCTTTGTGTGTTTACTGGCTTTGACAATTGTGCACTAGCATGTTAGTGGTGTCTTTTCTTGCAGGGTGCTATGTCCAATATAGAGGAGCTATATTAATTTATGCTAACTTGTTTTTTGCAAGCGTTGCTTAGGTCTCCTCTCACCGGACATGGTCTATTATATGTTGCATACTATTGCTCATACTAACCCTATTTTGCAGGTCAGATCCTTATTTCAGACTTTTTTTTATGGTGGATATCCAATTTATCAAAAAAATAATATCCACGAAAGTTCAACTGATAAAAACATAACATCTATCTGTCTGTATATGGATCAAGTTCAATAATAAATTTACCAGTACTATCAAACCTTAAACGTTGATACTCCACCATATGAATACGATCCAAACCTTCTCTATTTTATAAAGATATTGAATGTTCTTCACCTTATGACATGCACTAATCTCCAGCACACAATTAATATTAGTATGATCTTTGTTATGATAACAACTCACTTTGGCTAGAAAATTGCAAAATGTTCATTACTCCATTGTCATTTTGAATAAGCCTTTTAAATTAGCCTATACTCCTTGGGGGACGTGCCAATTAAATTAGAAAGCATTTGAAAAATAAATTTTTCATAAAACAAAAATAACACTCTTACCAGAAGTTTAGGCTAAAAGATTTAGAATGAAAGAAAACAAAAAAATTCAGAGTAATTTACACATGTAGCACATATATCTTTTGTATTTACATGTCCATATGTAGCACTAAAATCTTTAACATAAATTCTTATGCATTTGGGACTCTTGGGTGTTAGAAAAGTAAAAAATAAATTTTAAAAGTGACATTGTAAAATAGGATAAATTAGGTGGCATGTATGTAAATCATCCAAAAAAAAAAAACCCTAGCGAGTCCGCCGACCGTGCCTCGCAATCCCGTGACTTGGTTCGGGGCTTTTGCCGAGCCCTTTTCCTACTGGAGACAATTCTGCGAAATAAAGGAGCCGATCGACGGCGACATGCCAAAGATGTTTTCGGCGGTGTTCGATTCCCGCATAGTGCATCTGATACTCTTTGGCCTCTTTTTCATTGCTGTTTCCTTCTACGCCGGAAGCCTCTTTGGCTCAAGCGGCATTGCTGTCGTTGGCTCCGGCGACTCCATTCCCTCTGCCCCGTCAAAAGGTGCATTATCTCTGGGCGCTAATTTACAATAGCGATTGATACGGAGGGCAGTTTCCGCTAAGTTTAGTACCTTGACTCTGTAATTATAACAGGGTTTTAGCTGAATGTTGCCCAATAGCTCGATCCATTTGCCATTTTGAAACATCAGTGGTTTCTTGGAGAAGGCAACCTAATTGGTATTAGAATGAAACCAGTTTTCTTGCTTTTAATGTGATAACATGGTTGTTGGATAATTGAAAGATCCAACAATCTATAGAGATAGACAACAAGCCCGAATAGCAGAAAGGGAAATGAGAAGATTGAGTCTCTAAGACTATTCTTATTCAAACTGAGTTACATAGACGATTTAAAGAGAAAAAAAAGTTAGTCTGAGGAGAATCTAGGAGTAGGTCTTAGAGAGACTAATGAGATAAGAGTTTTGGCCAGAAAGTTATTAGGCATATATTTCATGTATGACTGACTACCTTTATTTGTATTGTGGGTCAAAGCCGTTGGTATAAAATTGATTACATAATGATTTAATGGAGACTACATGACTTGGACTTGGTTTAGTATTTGTATTTGAATTATATCCAGGTGCTAGTCTAGAACTTCAAACGTTCTTCAGTTTGAGAGCCAGTACTTCTAGCAAATTCTAGCAAGAAACCTTACTTGACTGACTAGTACATAAGATTAGTGTTCGAGTTACTAGGAAAAGTCTTGGTAAATCTAATGAGTTTAGTAGCTCATTATTGTAGGATGAGTACATTTGATTCTTGGGAAAGTGGATTCTCAGGCTACACTGCCTAAAGATGGTATAGAGCTTTTCTCTAGTGGTGGATATTAAGGTTTAAACACCTTGGGAATTTTGATTGTGTAGAGTTCATCACACGACAAGCTATTTTTTAATGAATCCCTTAATGCTGAGTAGGTTGCTATTGAGGACGCCCTTGATGGTGCCAATGTGGTTATTCGGGGAGCTGATGCTTGGGTGAGATTGGTCAAAGTTGTCATGAAGGTTATCCAATTGTGCAGAGTAACAACTTTTTGAAACTTTAGGGTCTGTTTAGGGCAGGCTTATTGCTAGTTATGACTGTATAAATGACAGTTCTGCCACTGTCTGGTAAAACTATTTGGGGCAGCTTATTCAGAATGTTTATTGGTATTACAAAAGCATATAGTGTAGAAGTATAAAATCATTACAGATCAGTTTCAAAAGATGACATACAATTCTCACACTCTCGTGAGCACCAGAAAAAATAAAAAAAGAATAAAGACAAGTACAACTAAAATGAGAAATATTAAAATATTTTAATTTCAAACTCTGGCTACGTCTGTTCTTAGCTGCACTATCAACCTGGGAAAACATTGGATTTCCATCACTGCTGGCAGTGCAACAAGTGGGACTGTCAGCCCATCGGAAGAAACTGCAACGAGTTGAAGCACCCTTGCGATAACCGCTCTCATAACTATGAGACTGACGCGACGTGAGTAACATAGTTGGCAACCAACAATAACACAAAAAAACTCTATCTGTCACTGAAATCCTAGAAGTTATGTTGGTATAATTGCGAAAAAAAAACAAAAAAAAGTCAAATGTCAGATCTAAAAAAAAAAGGTATACATCAAAATGAACTTATAATATACGAAGAAAAGAATGACTTGGTGGATTAACTGTCATAGATAACATCATAAATTTCAAATTCATTATAGTCATTCTCAACCTCAGGAACTGAAGACCCGATCAAAAATTCTGATGGTTCTTCATAGAAATTCAGGCCATTGTTATCTGCCATACTGAAGTCTGTATTTGAACGTGAAAGATGTTGTCGGATGAAGTTATGAAGTGCTATTGTTGCCACCACAATATGCACCTGCTTCTGAAATAAATATGACGACATATCACGCAAGATGACACATTTCTTCTTCCAAACTCCACATATTCTTTCAATTATCCCACGTAAAGAAGAGTGACGTTTGTTAAACATTTCTTTCCTACCACGAACAGTTCCACTTGCTCGCTCAAAATCAGGAATATGGTACCTAGTGTCTGGATATGACTTCATATAGTCATTCTGCATAGGGTATCCAGCATCAATCAAATAATTTTTTCCTGTTATGGTAGACATTGTTATTTGCAATAAATACATATAATTTGAACTTTTATAAATCAAAACATACTTGAAGGCGGATGAGGAAAACTCTGCGATCTATTCCTAGTAGCATAGGAGAAAATCCGACTATAATGTGCACTCCCTATTTATATTTTGGTTCGTACGTAAAAAATAATAGTTACCTTGAAGTAAGGAATGTAATCAGGATCGATTGTGATTTGTCATGGAGTATTAGCAAATGATGAATCCTCTGACCTGACAATTTTAGTGGCTAAGCTAACAAGTGCCTGTATGCCTTTGGAGAAATAACAGTTTATTTTCTCTGATGAATGCTGAAATCTCTCCATAGCACTTCTAATTGATTCATTCTGTAACAGAATATATAGTGTTATAGCCAATACCTCCCTTCTCGTCGTTCTCGAAGAACCTTGGAGTCCGTGATTCGGGGATAACTCTTGCAGGAGATCTATAAATATCGGTACAGTCATTCGAAATATGTTGCTGAACCTAATTGGATGTCCAGAAAATATCTCACCTACCCATTTATCCCCAATAAAGTTTGAGGTCATACGGGGTATACAAACACTGCTTGATCGGTAATACTCCAACAATAATATGACAATAACTGTAGCCCATGCCATTCTCTTACGACGTTCATGTTTCCGATCCATCCTAAAGGAAGAAAGATGTCGGTTAGTTCAACAATTTCTAATCAATAGAGCGAACGAGAAATAAACAATGAGAACACTCAACCAGTTACAATAAAAATGTATAGAGCTCTACTAAAAGACATTCAAGAATCATGTAGAAGTACAATAAAAAAAAATCATAACTCCAAATAATAAATGAGTACATAATTTCAAAGAGTTCATAATATAATAAAAGAAAACATAGAAAAATTCATTCATCCACAAGAACACACCAATACTCGATGCGCAGCTTTGGTTCCATCGCCATGAATATTTGCCTACGTGTTTGATCCTCTAACTTTTTCATACATAATGCATGAAAGCACATATCCGCAACTAATTCGGGGTAATAGACAAAGTTTGAAGACAATCAAAGATAGTGCTGTCAGGAAGTGGAGCAGGCGATAGAGCTCCAAATGCATCTATGAGTCGGTCAAATGAAGTTTTAACAAAAATCTCCTTTTCTTTCTTCCTTCATCCTAGCCTGGGCCTCTTTGACTATGAGCTTGACTTCCCTAACTCCTTCTGGTTAACCCTATGTATTTCTTCATCAGCTGTCACCGGCTCTAGCGGGAAGTAATCTGGTATACTTGCAAACCCCGTCTCATTAGAGCTGAAGGCAACGCGGGACGTTAACACGGGACGCGGGGCTTTACCTGCGTCGAAGCCATATAAGGATTTATCAGACGCGGACGCAGTGCGGCAGGAATAAGTTCCACGAACGTGATTACCAAACAGGGAGTCGACGTTTTCAAAACGCCACCGCACCCTAATAAGCTACCCCAAACGAGCCCTTAGAGTCCGACACTTCTCAAAGCAAGGCTCTTCCTAGGATTAAAACCTAACTTCTCATAAATGCCAATGAAGGCGATTCTTTTGATGTTTGATGAGTTTGTGTCATTAGGAGGAGTCAAGTCTATTGAAATAGCCCTTCCAA